GCCATGCTAGCTTCCTCCCTGTGTGCAGGTATTGGACAGGCACTGAGATGCCAGGCTAGCTTCCTCCCTGTGTACAGGTTTTGCAGCCATCACTTCCTTTGGAGAGCTGATTTAGGAAGACTGCAGGCACTCCAGGTGGTTGTGCTTTTGCTTTCACCCATCTCAAAGTGCACCTCAGTTTCCCCAAAGGAACACATGGTTTAATGTTCACACATTTGTGACTTTCCAGATTTTCTCCTGATATTGGTTTCTAATTTCATTACATTGTGCCTGAATAATATATTTTTGTGTATCTCTGTTTAGGTTTCTTACTTTATGACTACTAAATGCTTTTTATTCAAAACCTTTTCTATTTAATTTTCAGTATTTAATTTATTGTGATGTTCTCATTTTATTACAAGCACTGAAAGTGCTTCTGGTTCTGCATGTTGTTTGTGGGGCTGGAAAATGTACTGAGTACCATTTCAAAGACGTTTGAGTTTGTCAGTTTTCCCAGACATTGCTTCCTCAAACATCTGCATCTTTCTACTTTGGCTCCTCTGGCTCTTCCTGTGTCTGAACTCCCACACTGCACTGAGCACCAGCGATGGTGCTTCCCTCAAAACCTTTGACTAGAAATCCCCTGTGAGAAAGTCTTCAAACCTTCAAACTAAAGATTATGAAAGAAACAGAAGCTTAAGGCCTCCAGTCATTGAAAGTAAATTGCTGTGGGAGTTCCTTCAGCTCCTTCAGCCAATCGCCGCTGAGTTACCAGCCCATTGGGGCGTGGTCTCTCTCCCTTTAAAAAAAGCAGCGGCTGTCCTCCACTCTGTCTTTGTCTTCCGGCTCCGTTTCCGGCCCCTGGACTCCTTTCCTGTTCGCGTGGAGGGGCTGTTGTCTGGGACGGTAATCTGTAAGTTTTTTTCCCTTTGAATAAATAACCATTCTATTAATCATAATTCCAAACTGGTGTGGGATTGTCTGTGACTTACGCCTTCATCTGGCGCCCCACGTTTGGTTGTAGAATCCCCCCCTTCCCCCCCATTCAACTGCTTGCTACCAGCTCGGCTAGTCACGAGACCTCCCTCAGCTGCGGCCTGTGCCCTGTATGTGGAGCCAGCAGTTCAATTAAACCCCACGCCTCCCAAGCTCCACAGGCTCGGGACAGTCTCTGCAAGCCTGGTTTGCTCTTTTCTGAGTTGTTTTTAAATTTCCCTTGTAAGTGCGGTGCTTTAGTGGCGTGAATCAGAACGACTCGGTCACGTGGAGGCATACGCGGCTTCCAGGTTGCTCTTTTCTACCCCTGGATTCTGGGTTTCTGGTTCCGTGCATGGAATTGATTTAATTAAACTTTCTTTCTTGAGCAACTTATATTTCCTAGTTTTTAACAAATACTAAGGCAGACACTGAAACAGGACCTGTTTAAGTCACCTTTGCAGTGGTTCTAGTCGCAACTTGGCAACAGCGCCGCCAACTAGACAAGAGGTAATATGGCAGTTTTTGTTTCCAACGCCAATTTTACTGTTTTCTTTATTAATACAATGGATTATGTCATGCAAGGTTTATATGACTATGGGAATATATTAATTTACTTGTTACTAGGTTTCAGTTTTCTTTTCAATATTTTATCATTAAGAAAGATACGATTTTTACGGACTAATATTGAACAACTAGTTGAAAGGATTAAAATTATTGAAAATCAGGGGTTATCTGAACAAGTGAATACTATGATAGACAAAATTGACTCCATGTCCAAGGGTACTAGGAAGTTACCTGAAAGGGTACAGGCTGTTGAATTTGACGTTCAGATGTTACCACAAAGTTTTGATAAGGTAACAGATA